ATGAGCCTCAAAGAAATAAATTCCTAACAAATAATTACTTTTAAAAAGTATAATTTTGTTTTTCTCCAAAAAATTAAAAAAAAACAAAAATAGCTTAACAAATAATTTATTTATTGTTGAATATAAAATATATGTTTTTATTTAAAATAAAATTGGAATCCACCCGACCAGAAAGATTAAATCCTGCCTCTCTCTGATTGTCCCAGCAAAGACAATCCAACGGCTGTGATTAATAGGATGGCCCACTACTTTGACAGTTGTAGAGATCTTAAACCAACTAACTTAACTAACAAACACTCCAAAAGGAAAACTACTACTAGGAACAAAATATCTACGCACCATACTTGAGCAATGCTATAAATACACACTGATTTTATTTATTTCTATGATTAAATTTATATAATTTAGTAATTATTTTCAATAATTTAATTATTAGTTTAATAAAATTTTTATTTTTCAATGAGCTCAAAATTTTTTAAAATTATTAATAAAAATATGCAAAATAAAAAAAATAAGGACCGTACCGGGAGCAATGTAGCCGTAAGATCCAGCGATTGCCGACATGCACTCAGATGCACCACCATCGATCAAGAATTTTGCGAGTCCAAAATCTGCGACATGTGCCTCGAAGTTGGAATTCAACAAGATATTATTTGATTTGACATCTCGATGAACGATCAAGGGCGAACAATCATGGTGAAGGTAGCAGAGACCTTTAGCAGCTTCAATGGCAATTTTGTATCTCAAATTCCATCCTAAAAATCCACCTTTCTTGCCGTGTAAAGCCTCTCCAAGGCTCCCATTTCTCATATACTCATAGACCAGGAGATTAGTTGTTTTGTTTGAACAAAAAGCCAATAGTCTCACTATATTTCTGTGCCTAATGTTGCCTAGTGTTTGAATTTCAGCTCTAAATCCATGATCATGATTGTTGGCACCAAAACCCAGAAGCTTTTTCACTGCAATTTCCATCCCATTTGGCATTTTTCCATGGTACACAATCCCAGCTCCTCCTCTCCCAATCACATTTCCATCTTTCACGCACTCCAGCACATCAGAAACAGTGAATTCGAGCTTCTGAAATGCTGTCATCTTCCAAGAATCTGAAACATTTTTCTTGAATGACCTTGCTTTGATTATGGCAGCAGTGGCAAATACTAGAGAGCAAATTAGCAGGCCTATTGCGAAAATCAGCTTGAACTCTCCGGGTGCTTTACTTGGTGTTGTAGTGATTGGAGTGAAGTTGCAAGGATTGTTGAGGAGAGAACCGCAGAGTTGAGGATTTCCCGCAAAAGAAGACATGTTAAACACTGCGAATTGACCTGATTCTGGTAACTTGCCGGACAAGTCATTGAAGGAGAAGTCAGCAATGGTGAGGCTTTTCATGGAACCAATGGTTTTTGGTATGGACTGGTTCAAGTGGTTTCTTGATAAATTCAAGTAATTAAGAATGTGAATGTTGGAAATTTCATTTGGGATTGAGCCAGAGAGGTTGTTTTGGCTCATGTCCAGGTATGTGAGGTGGAAACAGTTTCCGATTTCTGGTGGAATTACACCAGAAAGTGAGTTTCTGCTAATATCAAGCTTTAAAACTTGACGGAGCTCTCCTATGGAAGGCGGTATTGGACCCGAAAACTGGTTTCCACCAAGCAAAAGGATTTGGAGGGAAGAGAAATTGGAGATTGAAGAGGGTAAACGACCAGATAGGAGATTGTTGGACAGATTTAACTCGCCTAATTTATCGGGTTTGGATGAAGTATTGCCATTTTCGGACAAAGATCCTGTTAAGTAGTTGTCCTGCAACTCTGCTAAATTCATCTGAGGCAAATAAATGAACCCATTTGGGATACTACCGTTCAAGTAATTCTGTCCCAACCTTACTCTAGTGAGACTATAACATGTCCCTAACCCTTCGGGAATTGGCCCGAAAAGGAAATTTTTCATAAGAACTAGTATTTTTAGCTGATTTGAAGCACACAAGTCTCGAGGGATTGTACCAGTGAGCTTGTTGGAGGACAAATCGAGCAACTGCAGTTTCCCATTTCGGCCAAGATTCTCGGGAATCACACCAGTGAAGTTGTTCATCCAGAGTCCCAGAGTTTCCAAATTAGGCAAGTCTGCTACATATTGTGGGATTGAACCATGAAGCCTGTTCATGAAAAGATTGAAGAGCTTGAGCTGTTTGAGTTTGATGAACTCAAATGGGATTTCTCCAGTCAATGCATTGTTGGAGAGATCAAGATTGATTAAACCGGTCAAGTTTCCGAGCTCCTTTGGGATTGGACCTGAAAGGAGATTGATGTGCAAGTAGAGAGTATCAAGCAATTTCAAATTCCCCAGTTCATGAGGAATGGAACCATCCAATTCACAACTAGACAGATCCAAGTGCACCAAATTCACCAGCTTGCCAAATTCTACAGGTATACCGCCTTCAAAAACATTGTAATAACCCAGATAAATCTCTCTCAAATTAGTTAGATTACCCAACTCACCAGGGATTTTTCCATGGAGATCATTGCCTGCGAGTGACAGATACTGTAACCCAACAAGTCTGCCATAGCTTGGCGGGATTTTGCCATAGAAATAGTTGCCACCAAGATCCAGGTACCTGAGTCTTTCTAGGCTCAAAATCCCAACAGGTAAAAAAGAAGTGAAGTTGTTGTTATAAGCGTCAAAAACTTGTAAGTT